AGTTGTTTTTTTACACATATGTGCTGAGCAACATCGCAGTTGAGGCCAGCAGCAAGACATACATGCAGTGTACTGGAGCATCACCTCACATAGTGTACAGTCTTTGCCCACCAGTAAACTCAATATTTTTCAAGCAGACTAATAGACAGCTGTATGGGAACTGTGTTGGTGTGCAAACTTTGAAGTCTTCTTGAGGAGTGTTTTTCATCATTTTTGTCCACGTGAAGTAGCTACCTAAGGCCACAACTGGTGGGAATGTGGTGGTTTCCTCTCTCCAAAAGCACTCCTACCAGCTGCCTCAATGTTAGCATGGGGTGAATTCACGAACTGGAAAAATAATTGGTCTTTGTTTTTTTGGCCGAAAGAGTCACTTCCACCGTTGAGCCACCACGACGCGCCAGAATAGAAACTTTTAGCTAAATAAAGTTGATTCTACTTTTGAGAAGTGTTTTGGGGAAACAAAATGGCACCTTTAGCTGTCAATATAAACACTGTTTGCACCAAGGAGCTTAGTAGCTTATAATTGTATTATTCATGTATTGGCTAGAATTTACTCGCGCTGTGCCAACTTTCAGCCCAAGTGTCCTAACATGCTTTTTTAGTGGGTTGTGAATGAGCCAAGCTATGTGAATAAACAGAGTGATATTGCAGACATGTACAAAATATTGATGTACAGCCCTTTTCTTTAGCATGACATTGTTAAGGGCTTTATTCTTGTGTTTTTTATAAAAACTGCTTGTCACTGGGCAGCAGCGGAAAACTATGCATCAAGCTTTTGCGAGATGGTTCGAGAAACAGTGTGTTCAGACATAACAGTACCGGTGGATTTCTCTCGTAAGTTACTTTTTGTAGTATATTCAAAATGAGTGTATTAGAATTGTTTTATAGCCATTCATTTTAATATTTACACCTGAGTGTATGTAGGTATGGCTGTACATATGCATATGTGTGTGTGCGCATATGTATGTATGTATGTATGTATGTATGTATGTATGTATGTATGTATGTATGTATGTATGTATGTATGTATGTATGTATGTTTTAAATGAGAATTCGTTTATTATTGGTGAGTAAGTTTGGTAATGATATGACTGAATTTGTCTCTAGTTATTTCTCTTTTGAGCCATTACATATTTCAATTTATTTTGTACTGCATAAAAATAAATGTAACCTTACACAGAATATGTGTGTTCGAAGAAGTTGTTTCATTTACCAACCTACAGTCATGGGCAAGAAATTGGGTAAAATGGAACGAACCTGCGAAGATTAGTTAAGAGCACAGCTACTCTACATGGCATATCTCGTACACATTGCGTTGGTTGAATATGTCGATTTCAACCTTTCAATTTTAATCAGAATAAGCAAGCTATCACCCGTGGTTGTATATGTGTGTGATATTTATGCATACTGTGATACCGGTTCGCAATTACAATTAAGGTCACAAACCTAGTCAAGCTGAATAAACGAATTTTGTCCATGCACCTTTCATCTGCACTGGAACTGTTGTTAATAAAAAATAAAGTTCAGTTTAGAAATTTATTCTAGTAACCAAAAGCAGGGTATCTCTTTATCACGCAAATCAAATTGCCATTGTTCTGTTCCATTCTGGACAATAGGGGACCCTCTCAGCAGAACTCGATTAACGGCTATAGTTCATTTTAACCATTGACAGCGACATTACACTGAATCGTGCAGCATGACAAATGGTGGGAGAGAAGACACACACTCTGTTCGCGTCAGCTCTAACTGTCCGTGCTATTTGGTCTTGCTGCATGTGATGATGCCCACCAAGTTAGCACAAAAGCGTGTCCCTACAAAGGCAGTCAACTTGGCTGCAAGCAGTTAGCTCACTGCATGTGTAGATTTTCTTCAAAACACCGTGAAGACTGATTGCTGGTCGAATATCCAAACACGTGAAAAGTAATATACCAGGTATAATATTGGTATGTCAGCACTGTACACTTTTGCGATAAGAGAGAATGGAGGAAAAAATTATGAACCCTGAATTGTTTAACTTTTGAAGGAGCACAGTACAGCGCTTTTGGGTCAAAAGGGGACTGAAAGAAGCAAGTGCGAAAGCCTACTTCTCAAAAAATTAGTACCCGCCACCACGCATAATGTCAGGCCGGGCAACCTCTTGAAAAAGAAAGTGCTCAGTGATTCTGCGAATCGAACCAAGTACCTCGTAGATTGCAGTTGAGCGCTGTAACCGCTCGTCCACTGCAGCAGTGCTTGCATTCGCCCTATTGCTGATATATCGTCATTCCTTCGAATGAAGCCAAATGCAAAAACGTCCAGTGAAACTTTGTCAAAAATAGAAAAAATAGTTAGAATGCGTTTGCCCAAGGTTACTAGAAGATAGAAACTGCCACGTGTGACTGTATAACCGTGCGCTATTTATTCTTGTACATTACTGTCATGACGTTGAGATAGCCGGCTCTAACGTAGGCTACCTTCTCATAGTTTGCCAAATATAAATAAGAAAAGAAAAATATATAACAGCCTGTGACAACGCTAATCAACTATTATAAGTGTACTGTCACTAGTGTCACTTTCACTAGAAGAATGCTCAGTTTGCTTCCATTATCGTTATTTAGGAAAGTTTTGGCTGATTAACTCAACTCTCCTAATTAACAATGATTCTCACATCTAAGGACAGTCACACTTCATCTCGCTTTCTGAGCGGTTGTCACTCCCATATAACGCGTACTCCTCTTTTTTATGCTCTCCGAGCATCTGACGCTGCTTTGCGGAGACATTCCCTGACGTCTGCTGGGCCAGAAAATTGTCTTTATTATCTATCAATTTCAAGCTGTCGCGAAGCCGAAACGAGAGTCTCTCTCTCTCTCTCTCTTCATCCTTTTCGCACGTGTGATAACGTCTCTCGACCTCAAGACTCGTATACACGTCCCTTGCTTTGTTTGCGCACTGAAACAACGCTGGACGAAATATTTGCACCGTGTTTTGTGGAAAGCATTAGCACTGAGACACCTCCCGACGAGTCTCCTTCATTTTACATAGACATATACCTAAGCGTAAGCGTATGCACGTTCTCGCATTCCGGCTTTATAAAAATTCTGCGGTGCATGGAACCAGCGAAATTGCGCTCACAATTTCATTTGATTACTGCTGTTATCTATTTTAGCACAATTCGTCTGCAGGCACAAAAGTCGCTCATGTGTCTTGTAATAAGAATATTGTAACAAAGGCTACCTTTGACTATAGGTACAAAACACCCTTACGTTCACCACTATACCGTGCTAGATTGCACCGAATTAGTTAAGTAGCAGCGCAGCTTCAATGAAATGTAAGGTAAGTGGTCGCTTTAAATAAGGGAAGACATTCAAGGCACATTTTCAAACATTGCATGCATCGATTTATGTGTGGTTTTATTTATGTGGTGCACCTGGAGTGCTGTTTACTTGTACTTGGCGAGATAGTGCATGGATTGCTCGGTGGCTTAACGCCATCAAGCAATTATTTTTTTAGCTACTGTCGTTAATTAAAGGCGAGTGCTTGGCTTTGCACAGCCCACCAAAACGACTATTACAACGTGCGCGGCATCCCGTAAGCGCTGTAGCAGACGCTCGCGGAACTGAAACTCAGATGCAGCAAATCATTGGCTATCATCGTATACTCTCGATGCTAGACGCTTTGCGAGCTACCTTGATATTATCGGCACACACTTCTTTCTTTCCTTGTCGTTTCATCGGCTATCGTCTGTCCTCCTTGCCCTCTTAAGTGCCGAATAAGTTAAATTCATACCCACGCTATAGTAATCCCTCCAGATAAGAGACGTTTTGGCTAAGAAAATGCGTAGCCAAAGAGAAAGATTTGTGAATTCGGGCCGAGACTTTTTTCGTTAGACTTAAAGTTTAAAGAAAACTACGGGGTACAGATGGCAAACATATGAAACGTGTGGCTTTAAAACACCCCCGAAGTTGAGGATTTTGCGTTTTGAACGTTTGCTCGTGTGCCGGGAGCGACCACATTGAATAAGTCCAACTTGTGGAATACAATTTGCCAATCATTTTGAAAGAATCTTTTTTCAAGGTGAAGTGCCCAGCATGCTGACGCGTTTTTCATATTTCCGTGTTTGGAGGCTGATGAGGTGGATGAGTGAGGAAAGAATGCGCTTAGCCGGTGTCACATCTTACTCCTTCTTCGTTTGCTTTGCGTTTCTGGAGCTAAATAAAACCTTAGTCAAGTGCTTCTATTCGTGTTTCCTGCGTTTAGTTTCAGGACTTCCGCGAGTGCCTAAATTCGCACGCCACAAGCAGTTTGCTGAAAACAACGCTGTTACGCATTCCTTACAGTCGCCTGTAACTTCAAGCAGCATCATACTACCTCAAGCCAAATTTGTCGCTAGTCATTTTTAATAAACTACCTTCCCCGCCTAGTTTACACTATGGTCTATAGACTCAGTAGACTGGCAGCTCTGTAATTTATAAATTCTGTTTTATGTCATGAGCTGGCGACAAAGAAAATTTTACTGGAGCCCGCTCCAATGCCATAAGAAACATATTTACATAGTGTTCAAGTAAGTTTCTAAGTTTCAAAGTTTTGGCTACTGATAGCAGTAATGCATAGTATAAAGCTCATTTCCAATTACTGGAAGAAGAAACGGTCTAGCTAACGTAACTGTTGAACTATTCTACCAGTGTAACTTTCGGTAGTGGTACACAGCGAGACCTCCATCTGTGAATAAAATTAGTGACGCAGCGAGTTTCATGAAGCAGTCATTCACTATTTGTAAAGCCTTACCATGCTGGGAGTGTTCCCATGCTTTATATTGCGGTGTGAGTGCGGTTAAACTTGGCCTAATAATGGAGGTGGACACCTCAACAAGCCATCTTGAGTGGCGGTATACACGAATGAGTGTGCTCACGATTCGCCGCTTCGAAACGCGCGATGCTGTGCCTTTACTTTCAAGTTGTGACTGCCAAGGAAGAGAGTTCTAATGACACAATAAATACTTGTGGTTGTATTTGTCTTAACAGGTTCACGACCTTCTTCCGGGTGTAGAGTACTTCCTAGTGATATCGTCTGTGAATGAGCGGGGCCGGAGTCCTGAGCTAACCATTCTGCCTCCGATTATGCCTCTAGTGGGCAAACTCACCATGTCAGGTAAGATTCAAATTAATAGCAATGTGTGATTGATAAGTGAATGAAAGTGAGCTGGTTCGTATATATTCATCTGAAAAAAAAACAGTGTTATTTCAAAAACCGACAAGACAACATCGCTCGAGGAGAGCGCCAAACTTTATGTGATGTTTTTTGGTTTCTATTTAAATCAGTGCTTTTTTTTCAAGGGCTAAGCTTCTTTGTGTGTGGGTTTGTCCTTCCTCCGTTGTTGTCGCACGTAGCCACCAGTGGCACATACCCACTCTAGATCGGCTATGTGCCACAGGCAATGAGAGATGAGAGATGGCGGTACTTGCAGTGTTCACTAGATGGATGCACGGATGGACGCATGGATGGACGGACAGATCGACTAGCTGGTGGACGGAGGGACGGTAGGACGTGCTGAGCGGGATCTGCCACACGCGATGTGAGATGCGAGATTGCGGTACTACAGTGTTCACTAGATCGGCACATGGACGGATGAATAGACACACAGTTTAAAAGATGGACGAATATATGGACGGATGCACGGACGGATGGATGCACGAACGGACGGACAGACGTATGGACGGACTCACGAATGGACGCACGGACAGACGGACGGATGCATGGATGGACGCACGGTTGGTCGTGCGGAGGATGAATGCAAGAACGAACGGAAGCTTGGAAGCATGGACGGGCTGAAAGACGCTTCGCCCCACTCATCATCACTCACTCCGTGGATAAGCTGTGATCCTTTTTTTTAGATCAAGCCTTCAGATATACGTTTGTTTGTCCATTCACATCGAGTAAGCTGTACGTCGATTTTGATCTTAATACCCGTCACGTTTGTGTAGTGGTCATGGTGCGTGAGTACAGACCCGACGGCCGCGAAATTGAATCTTGGCCGCGTAGACTACATTCTCATTAGAGGCCGAAATTCTTGAGCCTCACGTAGTTAGATATTGGTTGCGCGGTAAAGAACACCACGTAGTCAAAAAAAATGTTTGGAGTCCTCCATTAGGACATATTCATCGTCAGATTGTGTTTTCGAGGTTCTAAACTCCAAATATTGGTATCGTTTTTTTTGGAAGTTGAAATTATCTGCGACGTGTTTCAAGTTGGTCAACGCATATATGAGTTATGTCATAGCACATTGAATGACATATTTCGAATAATCTTATGAAGATAACTTGCTATGCCGCAATCACGGGAGCTGGGTGCACACAAGAAGATTGTATGATTGTCAACTTAAGAAACTGCACCAAGCTCAGTGTGTGTCCGTTACTTGATTATCCGCAGCTGAATGATAGCATTCATATTAAAGCAATGCAGCTTGTTATGTACAACTACGCATTTTACGTTCCAAATCTGCGCGCGCGACTGCAAAGTTAGTTATATAGGGCTACGCTATCCAACGGAACATAAATTTGAAGTTCATCGGGTATTTTTCATCATTATAGATTCTATTTAGTCTGCCATATTCACTCTCAAAGGTGCTCATATGTTTGCCACAGGTGTGGTAGTTCTGGGAGCATATCAATCGTTCGAAAGCAGCGTCGTTCTTGGGCATAGTTTGCTGGTCCATAATACTCTTAATGCAACTGCAAAGCTGACTTTCAGAAAAAGTTGCCTTCAATTCATTGCGGTGATTTTTGCAAATCTAGGCTGATGGAAACCTTTTTTGCCTGATTATTTACGAGATTACGCCTAAGAATGGGAAGTTACGTTTGCATTATGAATAACGTTCACACAGGCTAGCGTTAGCAGACAGTATAAATAATATATTCAACAATATTTGAGCAGACCTACTGTCAGTGTAAATATTTGGTTCCGAGAGCTCATGCGCTATCGCAACATAAACATTTGGGCACGTGATCATTTAATGCGGGTACAGTGGTGTTAGCATAATTATGCATGTATTACTCGTCCATTTCATTATCGTGATTTAGGGTAAGACTTAGAACGCACCCCTGCTGCTATAGTCAATTATTTATAGTTGATACCTTAGGAAAAGGGACCCGTCAGCTCGCAACAGCTGACATCATGGCCCAGCGGACATCGTTTATTTAATAAAGTTTGGCAATACAGAAACAGCATATTCACGGAGTGAACGATGATGAGTGGGGCGAAGCGTCTGTGAGCCCGTCCGTGCTTGCTTCCGTCCGTATGCGTGACCATCCGCGCGTACATGCATGCGTCCGCCCATCTTTCCGTGCGTCCGTCCGTGAGTCCATCCATTCATCAGTCTGTCTGTCTTTTCGTGCGTCGATCTGTCCGTACGTCCACGTACCTATCCATTCATACATTAGTCTCTCTGCTAGTCTGTCTGTCCATTCGTCCGTGCGTCCATCTAGTGAACACTCCAAGTACTGTCATCTCCCATCTCGCATCCTCTGTGGCACATACCCAATTTAGAGCAGGTATGTGCCACCGCTAGCTATGTACTACTACATACATACATACAAGGGATGGACAGACTTACGCTTTAGGTAACTTTGCTTCTGAAATGTTCTCAATTGTTGCACGTTTACCCTTGTTATGGTCATTACTTACCGTTATCCTGTTGTTAATACAGGCAGTAAAGCTAAAATCTACTCCAACGTCTTGCTAATCGGGGTGGTCGTGTCCGTGTCGCTGCTCTGCCTGTTGCCACTCATTGTGTTCGCGGCGATGAAGCTGAGGAGAACTGACTTCTTCAACAAGAGTGAGTATACGTTGTCTATAGCAAATCACGTACTTTCACTGGCCAACTCCACAAACATGGCGTGGTTTTTCTCAGGCAACATATTGCCATCTCTCTGCAGCACTTTCACTTCCCAACGTATTTAAAATATAGATGGGCCAAATTTTTTTCTTGCTAATACATTTTCATAATGAAATTCATTTACTAGTACACATATTGCTGAGCAAATAGAGCATTTCGAGCTAATACGGCTATGTCAAGAGTTCTAGGACATCCGAATATTTTGCAACGATCTCTATGAAACTACCAACCTTAACATACTAATCTGTTCGAATGTTAGGGCAGCATGAATTGCTTGTATGCTTTTTGTCTACTCTAAAGCACATATTCTTACCACACTAGCCTCTATACAGTAAAATGATTGCACCCGCTGCAGGGATGCACAATAGCAGCTTGAGCTGTGCCATGAAGCTTAGTTTCTGTGAATTGTTTTCACTGATACAAAAACATCAACGGTAGTGCAATGAAAATAACTAGGCAGACACAAACGTACTCATTCGTTCTAAAGTACACATATCAAACAACGCTGACCATGCGAGACGATTCAGTGCGCACTAGTCGGTAGCTAACAGCAGGAGCATTAGGAGGTTGGGCCAAGTTTAGTTATCTCAAACAGAGGGGATCATATAACAGGGGTTTGCACACATGAGCCAGTTGGTAACATTCATAACCTTTAGGGACGCGAGCTAAACGACATAGAAGAGGGTGCAAATAATTAGCGGAATCGAAGAAAATTGACGCATCTAAATATCTAGATCACCTGATCGAGTAACTCACTTCTGCACTCAGGGTTTACGCTGGTCATTACGCACTTGGTGTCGTTGTTAGGTGGTTTGGATATTATATTACCCTTGAAATGAAATTTCGTATTGAGTATAGTAGGTGCTTATTTTTCTGTTCCAGCTATTTAGCACCGCTCTCAATATATTTCCCAAAGGTGAAGTTTCGGGGCACTCTGAAAAGACAGAAACTTTAAACATTTTGAACATTTTGTCTATTCACGAGCCCTAATATGTTCACTATTCCTATGGACATTGTAATACTACCGTTAATTTGCTTGTTTGTTCGTTTTGAACGTTACTTAAAAGTATATGAGTTTTATTACTCTGCAGATTTCATTCTTTCGTCAAGCTCCTTTCTTTCTATTATGATCCTTCTCCACGAAGAAGATAAACCACCTTTTGGTCAACACAAAGTCACACAGATGAGCGCTCCATACAGGGGGAAATTTAGCTGTGCCTACAACAAATAAATTATTAAGTTTGGTATACATTTGTATACCGCAAAACTGTTCAGGAAAATATGAGGTTAATACGTATTTATAAAGTGAATAAAAACACCTCTAAGTGCTGATATAGAAAAAAAGGTAAGCAAGCGGGCCGAAAAAGAAAACCGTATTCATACTTTCATTTAACTGCTTCAAGGAAAGCAACCCGTTTCGCCCTTACCCAATGTACTAAATGCAAGAACAAAAATAACAACAGCCGCACACAGCAAAAAAAGCAGACATGGAGTGTCGGTTAAGCTTCATTGAGGTTTAAGTTAAATCGCTCTCTTCCTATAATAAAGCTAGGAAACAGACCAACTCGCACTTCCAAAGGGGGCTTGATTGCTTCCTTTCCATTTGTAAAAAACAGACGCCAGTTGTTTTTTTTTCTTCAACTGCACCGCCTAAGCAAAACGCTATCAGATGCTTTATGACTCGCCTTGTGTGAGACTGGGAGCATTGATTAGGAGCTCGCAAGCAGGAAACAATCTGGGACCGAAAATAATTAAGTGCAGTAGTTTTACAGTTAATACTTCACAGCAATGTTTTGCGAAGCTTTGTAATTAGGACCCTAATATTTGCTAAACGATTGCAGTCTGAAAGGATTTGTTGTTTTTCCTACTCATTGTTATTTAAAATATAAACGTCTTGTTGTATTTTAGGTTTATATGTGGGGCTTAACGTCCCAAAACCGTCATATGATTTTGTGAGGCGCCGTAGTTGGTGGTTTCGAGAATTTCAGCCACCTGGTGTTTTTCAGCGTGCACCCAAATTGGAACACACGGGCATTTGCGCCCATATCGAAAATGAAGCCGCCGCAGCTGGGATTCAATCGTGCGACCTGCGGGTCAGTAGCTGAGTACCTTATGCACGAGACCATCGCAGCAGTGCTGTTGTCTTTGTTCTCGCTGTTATAATTGCGGGGAAATATAACCTGCACGGACCGGAGTACTGGTTTTATGATGCTGCATTAGGTTTAAAAATGCATATGAATAAAAAAACTGATGTTTCATGAGAACGTATTTTCAAACTTGCAAAAAAGAGGTTTATATATGGTTAATTGTAATCGCTACTTATGAGAAATAAAGCACAGTGAGAAAAGAATGCGTATTCAATATTGGGGAATGCTGCCGCGGTATGCAATGTTTAAAGCAATGCTGTTTCTTTCAGCATAATTTCGATTTGCATTTTATGCAAGACAAATTTTTAAGCAATTTCGATGCATGCCCGTGTTGTCAAAAATGCTCTGATGTATTACTTTGTATGCTTTGCAAGGCCTTCACCATGCTGTTTGTAGTATTGGTCTTCGACCTAATCTTCCGGAATATGATTTTCTTCTGGACTGGAGGAGATAAAGTAAGGCTACTAGCTTATATTCTTTTTTTTTCATTTCACACTGGTTACTTAGATTGTGTGGCCAAGAAAGACAGCACAGAGAGTGACGCTTGCCCATCTATGACGACCGCCAGTCCTCAAGAGGCGATGCAGCTGCAGATATCATCGGCGTACCCAAAGGAAGACAACCAACTTTGGATTGTTAAAAAGAGCACCGGACTATGAGCAAGGTGTGGCGACACTGTCCCCAGCGTGGCACTTCGAGGCTACGTGACGGGAAGATTGTACAGGCGGAACAGTGTGTCGTGCGTTGGAGTGTAGTTTAGCCTTCGGTTGACACTGGAGCCTCTGTAACACTGGTCATTAGTGACTGTGATGAATGAATGTTCGATAAGTGAAGTGAAGAAACCCAAATCTTCAAGCGGGTTCATCGAATGGTTTGCGTCTGGGAGACAATTTTCTTAGTTTTATTTCTTGAGATGGGGAACGAAAGGGACATCTGAACAGCGGCATCGATGTGTTATTGACGTCTAATAGACGGTGCTGAAAACGTAGCTTGCGGCTGTTTACGAGTGAATATCAACATGCCGAAATGATGTAGACTTCGCGTTTGCTCCCTACAAACCCGTTTGGTAATGTGGACCCTCCTTGCAGTGCGCCCGTTGCTGCTGTGAACTGAGCCGAGAATTGGCAACAGTGCCCCACGTGTGACGTGCCGAACCTGCTCAAGCTCTTGGTCGTTGCAGGATTGTGAACAATTTTGGACTTTTTTTCTGAACCACTTCAATTGACATAGGTGCTGCAGACCCTGCACCCTTTGCGGTTCGTGGTTACTGCGGAGACAGCTGTTCGTGTTTAAGCAACTCAGTGGCTCTGTCACATTGTGATCAGATAATTTAAATCCAGTTCCTTGAGCTTGTTGCAATACAGTCGGCATTTAACTTGCAGACTCTTGTGTCATGAACCACTAGAAACAGCAAAAAAGCGATACTCACGCATTATTGTGGTTTGTTGTATATGCTCGCGTTTTCATATTGCAATGTTGAGAAAGTTGAAAAAAGTATCGTGTGCTGCTCATAGTATCATGTGCTGTACACATGCCTACTCTGTAATCTGTCATCAGAGATTACCCAGACAGCTGTTTGTGTTTGTTTTTCGACCTACTTCATGAATGTTAATTGCAAGTTAGGCGTTGCTGATATTCAACTACTAAACAACTACTAAGTTTCCAGATGAGTTGATTTGCATGATGGATTTTGAAGGTTTGTGACTCTACTACTTTTTGAAAAAAACATTTGTAGGTCAATATTTTATTAGGTACGCTTAGGAAAGATTCGAATAGGGTGATTTTCATGTGTTTCATACCGATAATAAACATAAATATACGTAAAAGAACTGTCCCATCTATGAAATAATGAAAAAATACATGACAGAATTGAGCTAGTTATTTTCAAGCAACCATTAGAATATGTCCTACCAAATAATCAATAAGCAGTAAATGTGTATTGCATAAAACATTTGGTGTCATTACACTTCTCTATTCTAGTCATGTGTGCTTTGTGATCTTAAGATATTAAAAGCAATATGAATCTTCTTTTTTGTGTTGCTCAAAGGCGTTCATAAGGCAATGCACATAGGGCAAATTTTAGTTTGTTTGTCGAGGTGGACATCGCCTGTGCAGAACTAAAGCACGTATCTAACAGGCGCGAATTTTGTATCATTTTCCTGAGTTTCAATCATAGTCTCAGGACTTCATTTTCTTTGTATAAGCACAATCAGCTCTCATACTAAATGAACGATTTCAAATTTACTGAACACTAAATCTATACAATTCCAAGTCTAACGCCACTAAAGCTTTTTTATGACGCTGCATTTCCATGAAGTCAAAAGCATACCTGCTATCATTTTGCGGAAGGCTGGCCAATAACATATGTAAATACCTTATCAGAGGCATCCAACTGTTTGTACATATTTGAGACGCATTTCGATTATAAATCATGCTTTACCTGCTCTCCTTCCACGTCAAGGGGAAAAAATCGAGGAAAGATGTAACAGCGAGACGGCAGAAAGTACATGTTGGTCAGAAGATGTAGAATTTAAAAACTAAAAATTTTTGAAACCATGAGTGGTATAGTCGCTGAATGGAGGCGAAGCTTTGTCGCGAACAAGAAAAGTTTCGCCGTTACTTGTGCTGTACGACTTATGATCGACGCCTAAAAATCGTTGAGGAGATGCTATTTTTATATTACCTGTGATGAGTATTCTCCTCGAACTACTCGTATGCTTTAATCACGTTAGTCTTCATTGCCTGAATAGGGGAGACACCCACTGCTTTGTTCACGATTCAGTGCCACTGGTTTGTTGATGTTTTCGTGGAAGCATGAACAAAACCGCTCATGTATTTATGACACAGTAGTTATCATTACACGAGTGTGCTTATTGTTATACCGTTTCAGTGACGCACTACACTTGCAGAAATAGGTCTCTGCGTTGGCATCATGGGTGGCCCAGCTGGAGAAGAGAGCAGAAAAGAAGAGGAGGATGCGTCTACATTAGGTGTGCGTCATGCTATTTAATGTGCGGAATTCACGCGTATGTAATATATATTACATTTGTGTGAGAGATGTGTCCCACCTGTTTGTTGTGATCACCAATTCTTTACGTTTAGTTGTTTTTCGTCAAAATTGTTGAAAATAAAGCGCAAGTTGACTGATGTTTCAGTGTACCACTTCTTTTATTCGTCGCCAACACAGGAAAAAGGCATTGCAGTTTAAGCATAAAAATTAAACAGAGCTCAGTAATAGGACACATATAAGATAAATTTTTGTTTGTTTTCGCCACATAAAACAACACAAGTCTCTAATATTAGGGATTCGGCAAAAGAGAGCGGGATATATGACAGCCCTACACAGCAATGTGAGGCAAAGCGCTGTGGAACACACGGAATACAAGACTTTTTCACTTTAAACTTGCGATTTAATTAACATGCTATAGCAGTAGAGTGAAAAGACTGCGCTCTCTTGCTTCTCAGGTTAAAAGTACTGTCTTGTCCCAACAAAAAAAGTTTAACGACTGCTGCCTGCTTAAGTTGAACTTCTTGCAGTACATTTAGGGTGCCAAACAAAGCATCCCAACAATTCACAGAAATTAGCCCTATCACCACAGTGTTTCATGGCCCACATTATCACCAATTTTTACTTCTTTTTGTGAAATGGGCGCCAAAAATGGTTTCGCTTTTCCGAAAAGCGCTCTCCATGTTTTTTACGAAGCGCTTGGTTCACATTAGTCGGGTGAGACACGCCGCGTCATTATCAAAAATCTTCGAAGCACGGCGTGTCACTGGACCCAAAGTTTGGTCAGCGGACTTGTCTTATTGAAAGCGGAAGCTGCGTGCATTAGCGGGTTAATTTTCATATTTGACACTTCATCCTCAAACTCAAGCAAAGTAGAAAAACAGCGTAGGGAGAATGAGCTCGAGTGCCGCTTGTTCCTACGCCATTGTGCTGAATGAGGCAAAACGTCACAAAAATCTGCAGATAGCGGGAAGAAAAAGTCCGGAACATGCAAATTAATGTACAAAAGCACGCAGTCCAAGCCTTGGAAGAAAAAGTACAATTGTTAAAACGTCTGTCCAGCCCACACCATCGTTCAAAAATTCTTCACTGGTTCAAGCTGGATAGCATGATTATGGGCACCCAAATAATTTCTAACGTTATTCGGGTGCCCTTAATGATTTCTATCCAGCTTGACTTTAAAAAAGATAGTGAGACAAAAATATGAGGCTAAAATATAACTGCGCTGGCGTGATTTACATTCAAAAGAAGCTTAATGTTATTGTTCCGAGCAAAATATTTCGATTCTTTAGTTTGGATAATATACCTTATATAGGTAAGACGATGTTAATAGAAAATGCTCATTTTTATACACACATGTTCGTGCGCCATGTAATAAAAGTGCTCCCATATTGTTTACTCAACACTCTCTACTAGCATGAAATAAACATGCATTTACCGAGCTGATATATTAGTTGGAAATGTCTCGAGATATCCTAAAGAAAAATTAACACAAAAATGATACCTTTATCAAGTGAAGCCTCGAACCCCTGGAGGTGCCACTTACTCAAAATTCTTCAAGAGTGAAATGGTTCAAAAGCACTACAAAGGGTGTTCCCAATGACACTGTTGGCAGTTCATGTTTCCTAAAATAAAAATCTTCAAATGGCCAAAATGGGGCAGGGAACGAGTGTAGGGAATCCGCAAGTATATGGACCAACTCTATAGCGACAGTGGAAGACAGAGCCTCAGCCATCGATAGCCTGATCACGGCGCAACGAGTCGTGTTTTATACAGTGGCCATCGAACCTTCCAGGTGTACCACTGATGCTCACGTAATCTCTTAAAAAAACGCCTATCCCCGTCTGGTGCGTGATCTCAATAGAACAGCTGAAACGATCGTGTATCTTCGAAGACACTGCGGCGCATTCTGCGCAGAGCGTCACTAAACATCTTTGAAGGTGAAGCTTAAACACACCAAAACAAAGCAACAAACACGTGTGACCCCGCCGCGGTGGTCTAGTGGTTAAGGTACTCGGCTGCTAACCGAGAGGTCACGTGTTCGAATCCCGGCTGCGGCGGGCTGCATTTCCGATGGAGGCGGAAATGTTGTAGGCCCGGTGTGCTCAGATTTCAGTGCACGTTAAAGAACCCAGGTGGTCGAAATTTCCGGAGCCCTCCCCTACGGCGTCCCTCATAATTATATGGCGGTTTTAGGACGTTAAACCCCACATATCAATCAATCAATCAATGAACACGTGTGAAATTGTCATCAATATCATTATCCTTACCTTCATCATCGTATAGTAGAAGCTTGTTCTGCGTACGCATTCTAATGAACGTATCGCGAATTGATTTATAATCCTGCCAACATTGAAGAACTAACTCCACTTTATCCCTGAAACTTTCTTTGTGTCACCCCACCAGGCCGGGGCTTGTCACTATCCGGATACGAAATTGTCGTGATAGTATTTGGGAAATGCTTTTCACGCTAGCCAGCTTTCTTCTTTATTTTTTTCCAACGTGTTTCCTAGCGCGCCAATTTGAACTCCACACAATCTATCACAAGGACGTGTTGTCCCACCGTCATTAGAACACATGAGTCTCTTTACAGTGAAAGCTGTTATGAGATCATAACGCGGGTCACGCCCAGTGGTCCTGGGCCGCCGCCGC